TGTGTCGTGGGGAAAATGGAGGCCGGGGAACGGGAAGGGGAGGGGAGGAGGAGGAGCGGCGCCGCCTCAGCAGCAGCCCTGTGCGGCCTGGGAGGGGAGGCCGGGCTGGAGCGGGCGGGTTTTCCGTCGGCAGCGCCCCGAGCCGTGTGCCTGCTTCCCCGCAGGGTGTCTTTTATGAATAATCAAAAGCCGCAGAAGCCGACGCTATCGGGGCAGCGGTTCAAAACTAGGAAAAGAGGTAAGCTTCGGTCCGCCAGTCCCAACTACCCGTACTCCGTGTGTGGCCACCAGACAAAAACTGATTTCTGTCAATAAACGAACCACTGCCCGTGTATTCTCCTTATGAATCCTCTAAGTGACATCATGCTAAATTAAGTTGTACAGAAACGTGTTGTCTTACAGAACCTCTTTTATTGTTAAACTTCAAGAACCTTGAGAACGTGTTGAAGTGAGAGAATTGGCTTTAGTCTGTCCAGCAGATGAAATGCTGTTGTCCTGGGTTTTTGTCTCTTTTTAAACGTTTAACCATACGTGGCTTCCAGGCAACTCAGCCTGACAGTGAGCTTCATGGACCTGTCCTGGAAAATAAGTGTTCCAGTATTTCTGGACTTCCACCCAACTTGTTGCCAATGTGTTGATACTTGTGCTGAACATGGGGACAATAGCGTGCCCCTTACAGAAAGGTTGCTAAGATATGCTAGCAGTTGCTAAGCTGTTGTAGACAACACTCAAAGACTTGCAGCTGATTTCTGTTTCTTTGGAAGCTTTTCCTCTCATGCTTTACATAATCTAAGAACAAATTGAGGTGAGTAAAGCTAAAGATCTCTTCCATTTAAAGCTTTCTGTTAGTTACATGGGTGTATTTGTTGCCTGTTAACTATGCCCTACCTAGTGAAAACAAGGCTGTGGTCAGCTGGTGTATCACAAATGTGAAGAAGCAGCACGTGTTCTGCTTTGACAACAGAAAGGATGCTAAATACATCTGCAGTTATAGTCCATCATTTCATGTTTATTTACTGCTAAGGGGTTGTATCAGATTTCTACGTTTCCCCCAGGTTTTTGGGGAAAAGCAATTCCTTCAGGTTCACTTAACTCCATAGTAAGAAGAGGGGATGGTCTTCATAGCCAAGAAGCAAGAACCATCACTTGGCTCTAACCTGATAATGGCATGCAGCTTGGCAGGCAGAATATTTCATCCAAAAGAGTGAGAGTTCCAAAGGGCTGAAATGGTACGTGAGTAATGGAGTCAAATATATGAAACTGTAGGGGCACATTTTAAGAATTGCCTTCCAGTTCTAGGCTAAGCTAAAGAGTGATCTGATCTAACGTGAGCAGGAGCGTAAGGATCACACTGAGAAGTCAGATAAGCTTGGTTAGAGCCAGCTAATGATTATAATCAGAAAAAAAAAAAAAGTACAGTAAGAATTCAGTTAGAGGTAACTAAGGAATGTAGTAGCTTTTGGTAGCCTTTCCCCCAGCCCCGAATGAACAGCATAAAAAAAATCAGTGAAAGCAATGAAACAACTGCTCTGTTGGGCAGTAAAATTCATTTTAGGCTACCCTGTTAAGTCGCTGTTTGTGTTAGCTTGTTGTGCTAGGTTGTCAGGCTTGTCAGTGCAACTTTGTTACTTTTTTGTTAATAAGATTGAAATGACAGACTTTAAAATCCAGCCGTGTGGCAAGTTTGTTTCAACACTTTGTTTTTACAGATGAAAAAGAGAGGTTTGACCCTACTCAGTTCCAAGACTGTATTATTCAAGGTTTAACTGAAACTGGCACTGACTTGGAGGCAGTAGCAAAGTTTCTTGATGCTTCTGGTGCAAAACTTGACTATCGCCGCTATGCAGAAACACTTTTTGACATCCTGGTGGCTGGTGGGATGCTGGGTAAGTACCTGACTCTGCAGAAGCTCAGTGTTCTCTGTCAGTGTAAAAACTTTGCTGAAGAGTCCATTGAGTGTAGAACAGGGTTTAAGTTATCTGTGGTAAACTGCCTGACCAGTGACTGGGTGGGCACCAGATTGGAGTGGACAGTACAAACGTGGCTTAATGGAAAATACGTTGGATTTATTATTTATTTATTACCAGGAGTGGATCTTGACTCTGTAGTCAAGTTCACTTCTGAGGTCAGATGGGTGAATGCTTGTTTCAGATCTGTGGTCACAAGGCCAACAAAGTTGCCCTGAGAGATCCTGACATGATCCTGTGCTTTGTGTACCCTGCCCTGTTAATTTGGAGGAGTATCTTGTTTATAGAAGAATCAATGTGCCTAGTCTTGGCAATGCTATTACAAATCAATTGTTGGCAATAGCGAGGTCATGGGCTCTAACAGATGTCAGGGAGTGAGAAAGGAGGGTGGTCAAATCAGAAGACACAGCAAACTGAGGAAACATGGTGACAAAATATCTTGTAAACTCCTGTGCACACTGTATGTGAAGAGCAAAGAGCGGAACAGCTGCTCACCAACAGGTAAGAAGTGGATGAAGCTAAATGAGTTTGTAAGGCAGCAAAAAAAAAAAGTGGTAATTCTGGATTTAGACTTTGCATTTCCTAGTTGGCAGAGTCCTGTGTAGTGAGAAGGGGTCCTGGTGGCAGGGACCTGTTTGAAATGCAGGCTGTGTGTGAAGGGGACATGCTGTGCTCTCTGCCTAGACCAGAGAAGGTCTGTCTTGGATTTTGGCATTTGTTATGCAATAACTGGGGGGGAGGACTTAAATTGCAGAAGATTTTCTAAAATGTAACAGAAATAGAATTCAAATGACCTAAATGCACAGGAGGAGGAGGAAGAGATCCTTGCAATACCTGATTCTGGGCTGCAGTGAGACTGCGGGTGGCAGTTGTGCAGCGGGGGTGGCTGGTTTGGGAGGACGCATCTGTTCTGTGTTGAGGGGATCTTCACACCCATACTGTGGAGATGTCAGGTGACTTGGGCAAACAAATGCTGAAAAGCAAGGCTTTGGGAAAGGGCTGCCTGCTGTGCCTGCTTAGCTCAGAGCTGTGCATTGCAACAGCTTTACGCAGCCTGAAATCGCTGTGATGATCCTTTTGGCAAGAGGCTCTTTCACTTATGTTACAAGAGCTGGTACCAGGAGTGAACCTGTTTGTCGCATGGAGCGTTGTTGCCTAAAGTTGATGATGCACAAATTGTTACAGTCTGCAGGTTTACCCTCAAGAGCCTTAAGCAGCACACACCGTGTCAGGAGGCATTCCTGCCAGGAGCGAGGCTGAGAGGGAGGGGAGTGCATGACTGTGCTGATGCTGACACAGGGGTCCCTAACTCCACTCAGTCTCTGCAGCAGGGAGCTATGTACTCACTTAGCTTTGATCTTTAGTTGGATGAGGCCAAAATAAAAACTGGTGTCCTGTTGCCATGCCACCTTTTCATATTTTTACCATTAATGCTTATCTCCATCTCTGAGTCATGTGTCTGTCTAATATGTAACAAACAGGTTTCCTTTAGATGTTGGGCAGCATAGAAACAGGTGATGAGGTGTTCTAGCACTGAAGCTGGGGACTTCGATTTGCCCTGGTTAGTGAAGCAGCCTGCCTACCAGTCAAATATCTGCATTAAGCTGAAGAGGAGTGGTGGTGAAGCATCTTTTAATTGGCACCTAAAAAGCTGAAGTGCCTTTTTACACTAAAATTTCAAGCTCATCTCTGGGGCGCTGAATCTCTACATGCATCTCTGTGTGTTTCATCTCCTGTTTTGACTTATTTAAAAGACACTTAGAAAGTAGCACTATCGCAGCAGACATGAAAAAAAAATACTTGGTAAGATTAAGCAGTGGCTTCCTTTAAGGGAGGAGGTGCTTGTATGGTCACGTTAACTTATCTCTACGTAAATGAGATCTGTTGCCAGTCCACCTAACAGTGGAGGGTCAGAGCATTTGAATGTTCATATCTAAGCTACTGATTTTAAAGTTCCATTACAGTGATGGAGCAGGTGGAGATGTAGAGCTGTCTTCAGTGATCCAGTCACTTGGTTCATTGTGACAGGACAATGTGTTGCATATTATGAGTATTGGAATTGTTACTTTGGAAGCTACTTGGTAGCTCCCTGAGGAGTGACACCACTAATGCTGAAACCCTTCTTTAGCCCCAGGTGGTACCTTGGCCGATGACATGACACGCACAAACGTCTGTGTGTTTGCAGCACAGGAAGACCTAGAAACCATGCAAGCATTTGCTCAGGTGAGTTCTGAAATGAGTATGATTTAACTTAAACTGTTCAGGAGTCAAAAATGAAATGTTTCTATACTTGAAACTTCAGGTAAAACTAAAGCATGGCTTTGAGAAGCTTACTAGAATAGGTAGAGTTGCACTGTTCTAAGCTGAAAGTGCTGTAAAGAGTTCAGACCAACTTTACTGAACTTTATTTTTAAAAAAATAATTAAGTGATAGTTCAGAGCAAACAATAATGCACTCTTTATCTTTTTTAGGTTTTTAACAAGCTAATCAGGCGTTACAAGTACCTGGAGAAAGGCTTTGAAGATGAAGTCAAAAAGGTATGGAGTTGGTCCTTAGCAGCAGACAGATAAGCCTTCAAAATTCTGCTGGCTAATCTCTGTACTGAAGAGTTGTATCATGTAGTAGATCATTAAAACAGAACACTTAAGTTCTTGATAGAAGAACAGCTCGCTGGTATGACTGGAGGAGAAGACTACTGGTGAAGTAGTGCTTCTGCTAGTTGAATAGCTTGAGTGAAACAGAAGTGTCTAACATGGAGGAATTAGCCAAACTTCATTGAGAGATGGTGGTTTTATGGCAACTCTTTGTACTTCCTTTGCAGTTGCTGCTGTTCTTGAAAGGATTCTCAGAGTCTGAGCGTAACAAGCTGGCCATGCTGACGGGTATTCTGCTAGCCAACGGGACACTGAACGCCTCGATTCTCAACAGTCTTTACAATGAGAACTTGGTTAAAGAAGGTAAGTGTCGCCCAGCTCCTCCTTTGGGTAAGGAAGGTAAGGGGCAGACCAGTGACAAGCAGATGGAAATGGCCATGACAGTACACCCTTGCTGCTCACTGCCTTCTGGTGATAGGCTTACTGCGGGGCTAGCCAAGGCAAACGTGCTGCCTTGCAACCTGGAAGGTCTGGCCAAGATTTTCAGAGAAGTCTGTTTTTCTGAAGCTTGTGTGTAGGACTTGCCTGCGTGACACTGGGGGTGGCTGTCACTAGGGGTGCCCCACAAAACAACAGTGTATTTTGGAGAGGAACCTTTCAGTATGCAGACAGTGTCCTTAGGGCTCCTTCCCAAATTGTGGCAGGCAGGGCCGAGTTCAGCCCAGGGAAGCCTTTGTGGCGCTGGGGGGTAGGAGAAGTCCAGTGTGCTGGAGGCTGTGATGTCAGCAGGCAGAGGTGCTGCAGGCTGGGCCAGGGCTGCCTCTGAGCACAGCTCCCGCTGTTGTGAGCAGAGGTCGGACAAACACGAGTCCTGTAGTCTCAGGCCTTGTGATTCCCCTTGTTTTGGACTTCAGTGATAATGGTACTTACTCCTATTGCACAGGTGTTTCTGCAGCTTTTGCAGTCAAGCTGTTCAAGTCTTGGATAAATGAGAAAGATATTAATGCAGTGGCTGTCAGTCTTCGTAAAGTAAACATGGATAACAGGCTGATGGTGAGTACCACGAGGTGACCCAGTCACAGCTGAAGCTGGCTGAGTAAATAGCATTTACCAGCAAAGCACTCGACACACGTTTCTTTTGTGAAAGAGTTGTTGTGAACTTTGTTTTCAGGAACTCTTCCCAGCCAACAAGCAGAGCGTTGAACACTTCTCCAAGTATTTCACTGAGGCGGGGCTCAAAGAACTTTCCGAGTACGTTCGGAACCAGCAGAGCATCGGCGCGCGGAAGGAGCTGCAGAAGGAGCTGCAAGAGCAGATGTCACGGGGAGATCCGTTCAAGGACGTAAGTGTTGGTCTGGGGACATGGCTGGAGGTGGCCATTTTTTCTGTAGGAACTTTGCTTGAATTATCTGAAATACAACAGCATTTAATACTAATTGGAAGAAGATAACGTGCCTAACTGAACTTGGCTCTCACTCAGATTTAAAATTGGGACTTTTTTTTTTGTATTAGCTTCATTGTCTTTCCTTAATACCCTGAATCGTACTGTATGACCAAGGGGGTTCTTTGTGGTTCTGAAGGTTTCTGGGTTACCTTTAGAAGTTTTAATTTGGCTTAGTGGCCTATGTGCTGACTGCTTTGTTGGAACTGGCAGATAATCTTGTACGTGAAGGAGGAAATGAAGAAGAACAACATCTCAGAACAGACTGTGGTAGCCATCATCTGGTCAAGCGTAATGAGCACCGTGGAGTGGAACAAAAAGGAGGAGCTGGTGGCAGAGCAAGCCATTAAGCACTTGAAGGTACTGTAATGTGTGTGTGCACTCCTGCACCCGTGGGGTAGGGCTTGGGCTTTCCCGTCTCCCTTTTAAACCAGTTAAGACCTGGAACCCCCCAGTGCAGAGAGCACTGGACAGGGAGTTCCTCCCCTGTAACTGGTGTTACAGTCCAGGTCCCTGAGGCAGCAGCTCTCCACGGCGGGGGCTGCAGGTTTCTGCGCGGTGGCTGGTGGGAGGTGTGTGAAGCCACCCCGTGCTGCGTGTGCCAGCTTGTTGTTTGTTGCAGCAATACAGCCCTCTGCTCGCTGCCTTCACCACCCAAGGGCAGTCCGAGCTGACGCTTCTGTTGAAGATTCAGGAGTACTGTTATGACAACATTCACTTCATGAAGGCCTTCCAGAAAATAGTGGTGCTCTTCTATAAAGGTAACATCGGGGGGTTGTAGTTTCGGGGTTGGGGGAGTTGTTTTTTTGTTTGGTTGGGGGTTTTTGAAAGTCTACATGTGCAGAATCCTTTAGTCCTGCTAAGACCTTCAGGGAAGATCAGTGCTGCAACACTGCACTTTCTGAGCTGAAGAATTTTCCACCTTCTGTTTGCAAAGATGGGGCAGTAAAATGCAAGGGTGGCTGTGGCCACCCTTGGCACAGCTAGACAAGGTGCTGCCTGTCTGCCAGATTACGAGAGTTGTGGCAGATAAAAGCCAAGTTCAGTTTTAAGGCTCTTTGACCCTTTTACGTTAGGGAAGGATACACGATAGTGTATTCTTAGTTCTCTGGCTGACCACTGACTGAACAGCCAGGGATTGAGACCGCCATGGTGTTCTGGGTGCTCTAGGCTGTCTGGGAAGCAGCTATTAAAAGGTGTTACTGAAAAAAAAAACATGCCATGCACCAGTGGAAACAACACAGGAACATAAAGAAACGGATTTAAACTGAAGATTATGTTGTACTTGTAAAATTAAACAATATTTCCTGTGGTGTACTTCAGGCTTTAAAGAATTCGTATCAGTTCTTTTCTGTTGACTGAAACTTTCCATAGAGAGCATGTCATCCCAAATAGCTCTGAAAAATACTCAAGACTGCTAGTGGAAGCGAAAGCACAGCTCCTAGATGCGGCACTTGGGAAGCTGCCAGCAGCCAGCCTGAAATGGTTCCCAGGATCTCAAAATGGGAGGCACTTCTGTAGGAGCACACCCGTGGGGAGGGAGCAGGGAGGGAGCGAGGGCTGCCCCTCGGGGCTTCTCAGCAGCTGCTGTTCAGTGGCTTGGTGTCTTAATACTGCCCTTCACGCCTTGCAGCTGAAGTTCTGAGCGAGGAGCCCATCCTGAAGTGGTACAAAGATGC